GCTAACAGTGGGTGGTGGTCACGAAGATGACTGAGCAAATTTGATGCGTTTCCCCCTTTTGCATGACTTTCTTCTTGCAAGATCAGCAGACAGGGTGACCGTCCTCGATTAAATTGCCTTCAGGACTCTTGTAAAAGCCAAAATACGACCAGACCACCGATTTGGTTCTCTTAGATGGCTGAAAAATCTCCCGAGCGCTGTCACTGCCTTCCGCCATTTCCTCTCGTGTAAAAAACAACAACAACAACACTGCATGCTGCTTCTGCGTCAGACTGATGCTGGCTGGACAGGATTTACCGCGAGCTTTCAAAATCGTGATAATCAAATACGGTTTTGATGATAATTAAATTTTAAACGATAATACTAACCGTCAGGGCATTTTATCGTTATTTATCGTGAAACCGGTAATCGTTACATCCCTACTGTACACACACAAAATTTTACTGTTTGAATTTCTAGTACAACCCTCTTTCCTAAGCTCAAGTATGCAAACCTCTTTGCCACATGCACTATATTGAAAGTTAAATTTTCAAATGAAAATGGCAACATGAGTAATAAGATAGGAACAAACAAATCAATTAGCAATATCATTAATAAATACAACTGAACCAAATTTCAGGTACAGAAACTGTAATTAAAAGTTAGTTTTCTGTATACTGGTCGACAAATATGAAAGAAGTCAATTTCGGCCCGGAACAACCTTTTCTACAGTGGAAATACACGGAACGGTTCGAGAAAGGACACAAACTGGGAACCCGTACCGTGACCTCCGTTCTCTGTGCTCCCGCTTGCGCTTCGTGCGCGCTGCACGCAAACAGGGCGCAAGTTCTTTCCGTTCCTGCACTTAAATAGTTTTTAATCACATTAAAATGCGAACGCAGGAAATCGTTAAGCAGTATCAAAATGCACGCGTCTTATCGAATACCCGGTTCTTGGAAATTTGGAACCGGTTCTAAAATGGAACCGGTTTTCGATACCCAACCCTAGTGATGACTGATTGGATGCAGTACATGCATACTTGGGCTTGTTTGTTAAACAATTAGCCTATGCAGTTTATATGTTTGAAAACCACCAAACTGACCCCAAACCAGCCCAAATTTTGTCCACCCGCCCAAGCCAAACTGCCCAATCTGGCAACACTGTCAGCGGATTGAAAAAGAACGCGCTGAAAGACGGGGAGGAGCCGATCGAAGTCTGCCGCCATGTTCATAAGAAATTTAAAGGGGACTGAGGCGATCACGAATTAGTGTACAGTTTATGGAGCCAATCGCAAAATTTTAGGGGGGCTGAGTAGTCATTTTATGGGGGCTATAGCCCCCCTAAAAGTGGCCTAGCAACGCCCATGTTTGTGATCAAACATTAATTGGTGGATCCACTGCGGACCCCTGGTTGAAGGCCCTTGATATAAACCATACCTGTCAACCCTCCCGTTTTTCCCGGGATTCTCCCGTATTTTACCATTCTATCCCGCTATCATCCCATTTAAATATTTTCCCGTATTACTCCCGTAATTTTTCTATCTTTCTATTAAAAAAAAAATCCCACTGCGCGTATTTTATATGTTTGCTACATTCGCTTCCGGTAAAACTCCCGTAATTTGTATGTACCAAACCTCATTATATGAATAATCATGTCAACAAATTCCAAGGTTGTCCAGTTGCCAGATCTTGTATGAAACGCATCTTTCTCACACGATCGACGCATACAAATTTCAACCCATTTGTCCCCTCAACTTGTAAACCTACAGCCCAGTGATGCTATCGATATGTGCGCAGGTTGTACCGCGGGAATGATCAATAATGATCACTGGGAGAAATGGGAGAAGACTCAGGTGGCGCTCCAGTGAAAAAAACTAAATAAACATGTAAATTGAGATATAACTTACACTTCAAAAGGCGATGGTTTAATTGATTAAATATGAGCGCTGCGAGTTTCAAAGTCAGGTGCTGCCCTGCTTTGTTTACTGCGGTTACCGGGGAAACGGCTATATTCCTGGAGAAAAGCGCCACCTGCTGGCAGAGAATGAATTTGCATTTTTCAATAAGCCCTTCTGCTCTCTGTTTAGACCAAAGCCAAAAACGACCCTTATTTTTACGCAGAAAACACACAGCAGTAAATGTGAACTGGTGGATCGACAAGAAGATAATGAATTATAAAAACTAAAGATATAGCCATAGCATATTTATGTTACTAAATGAATATAACTGTTTGATAGTAATTGTTTAAATTAATATAAAAATATTATATAATATAAATATAATGTAGTATCAAAATTACTTTTGACTACATCCCCCCCACCCCCGCCCCACTTTCCCGTATTTTGGTACCCAAATGTTGACAGGTATGTATAAACCAATGCTGATATTCTGGAAATCGAAAGAGGACCACTGGACACACAAACTGGATCTGAGCAATTGTGAACAATGTGGCCTAACAACGTTAGATCAATTCCAATCGCATACACAAATAATCGAATTTGCACTGACAATGTGAACGTAGCTTTCAAGCTCGTGGCTATATTAAATATCATGACTTTACCCTTATTTACACAAGTCAAAATAAGAGCTAGTGGAAAAAAACATTATTTTAAACTTACCTTACAGGAAAATATCGTTTGAGGTAATGTTTGAATATTTCATCTTTGAACTGTTTCAAGTGAAACGGTGCAAGGCCTAGCATCGGAAGCACAAATGTACAGGAATAAAAGTCTGCGCAGTGCGCAGCTTCTTCTTCTTCAGATTTGATCTGCGAGAGGCAACCAACTCACAGATGCACTATCGCCACCTACCTGGCTGGAGATCGTGAGAAGAAAACAGAAAAAACGAACTAAATTCCCTCTATTATCTCTGTAGTCTTCAAATATTTAATTAAGAATGTCAGTAAATTCCCCAAGGATGACCTTCTAAGAGGCTTTAACAGTAATATTTAAATTTAGACTCTAATTCAGCAAAGGTGCTTCTTCCTTTGGACCCGCCTGTCAGATATTATTCCATAACTTTTTATATGCGCTCAGTCAAGTTAGTTATTTTAAGATATTGAAAAGAAAACTGCTAACACCCAAATCCTTACTTCACCGTTACCTTTCTGAGCTGTTGAATCATAATGCTGCTTTCTGGCTGTTTTTGACACTGTAGCATATTATGTTCCACTTCCACATGTACCAAATGTCTTTGTGAATGTTCGGTTGTTTATTAGTGTTTTGTCATTCTCAATAATAGGTAAAATCCTTTTGCTTAAACTTGGGTACAGTTTTGTTAAAAATTTACCAGTGATATTTTTGTCACTCCAGGAAAAAAGGTGTTGTCTAGGTTAAGATAATAAGTAATCAAACATAAAACTTCTTTGTGATTCTTACTGCTAATGACATCCGTCACTAAATGAAATTCTCACATAATTCAATAAATTCATTCCTACAAGAACAAATATGACAAAACAACCTCGCCAGGTTCTTTATTTACAGTACAAATGCTTACTTACAAGAAATATTGGGATTACTGTAGACCAGTGGTTCATTATGAAGTGTGACATAATATAACTCTGTAAATAAATACAATGTAAATTCATGTCTAAGCACTTTAATACCCTAAAGTCCTAATATCCTGCTAAGTCCACTTCGCAGGGCACTTACGATTAATTAGAACAAACCTCTGAAGTGATAAGAGAAACATACAAAATGTGGACTAGGATTAAGAACCGCTGCTGTAAACTCTATGCAGTACATAGATGTTAAATAGTATACATAGATGTTACATAGATACATGGATGTTAAGTGTACATATATACACATATTACAAATGTTACACATACTGTATAGCAGGGGTTTCCAATAGGGCTGCACGATAAATCGCATGCGATAGTTAATGCCAGGGGTGCCCAAACTGGGTCCTGGAGGGCCGGTGTCCTGCAGAGTTTAGCTCCAGCTTGCCTCAACACACCTGACTGGAAGTTTCTAGCATGCCTATTATGAGCTTCATTAGCTGCTTCAGGTGTGTTTAATTAGGGTTGTAGCTAAACTCTGCTGGACACCGGCCCTCCAGGACCGAGTTTGGGCACCCCTGGCATTAACTATCGCATGCGATTTATCATGCAGCCCTAGTTTCCAACCCTGCTTATTGAGAGCTACTATCCTGCAGACTTAAGTTCCAATGCAATCCAATGCACACCTGTCTGTAATTATCAAGCAATCCTGAACACCTTGAAGCTCAGCTGCTTCAGGTGTGTTTGACTGGGGTTAACACGTATAGCTATGCATATTACAAGAATGTAATTAAGATTTGATTTTGCGAATCTTCTGAAAGATCTTTTTTATTATATTTGGGTGAGTACAGGTCCGTTCTGCCTCCTGTCTGGCCTCTCTGAGCTTGGTTTCATAATAACGCTTGTACTCGGTCATTTTACACTTGTTTAGTCGTTCCAGCTCTTTGATCTTCTCTTCTTTCTCTTGCTCGGACGCTGTCAGTGTCTCTATTCTCTCTTCTAGTTTCTTCATCTCTTCAGCAAATCTGGCCTCCAGTTCTCTCTGTATGTCTTGTAATTTCTTCTCATACAGCTTCTTCAGTTCCTCTGGTCTAGTTTTCAGCATGAGCTCCACGTCCTGGTAAGAGTCGCTGGTGTAATGTTCACCTCCATTAGCAGCGACTACAGCATCTACTTTCTGCAGGAACTCCACAACCTGATTACGATCCTCCATGTCTTTATTGTTGAACACATGATGTCTTCCCCCACAGCGACTCAAGATTTCTTGCAGAGCCTCATTGGCTTCCATGAATTCTTCAATAGAGCTGGTCAGTTCATCCCCGTGAGTGAAGAGGATGATTGTGTGTTTACTGAAATGCGTATATTTCCTGGTTGCGATAACATACAAAACAGCTCGGTGTCCTTATTTAAATTTCCTAATAATGATTATATCAAAGAGTATTTACTTCCTTCTAATTCTCGTTGTCAGTGCAGGCTTGTTTAGCTTAATATTGACTGTTATGAAAAGTGACTAGTGTAGCCTGCATAAAAAGCCTTGAAAATAAAACAACAGGACAAAAATATAGTTGATGACTAGACAATCATTTCATGACTCTAGACACTTCTTTGTGAAGACAGTAGCATAATACAGTGAAATAATATGTTCTTTAGCCATTCAGAAACAGCTGTCATGTGCGTGGGTAAAATTTACCCGCGGGTGCTTTTAGGTATACAGCGACCTCTGGCGGCTCTAGTGTTAAATGAGTTCATATGGCTTAGAAATATTGCCAAGGTATTTTGGATGGTTGCTAGGGTGTGGCTATGGGGTTGCTAGGGTACTCGGGGTGGTTTCTATGGTGTTGCTATGCGGTTTCTAGGCTACCCGGGATGGTTGCTAGGGTGTTGTTATGCGGTTGCTAGGGTACTTGGGGTGGTTGCTAAATTGTTGCTATGTGGTTGCTAGGGCACTCTGGGTGGTTGCTAAGGTGTTGTTATGTGGCTTCTAAGGTGTTGCTATAATAATTTTATAATTAATAATAATTTATGCATTTAGCAGAAGCTTTTATCCAAAGCGACTTACAGTGCATTCAGGCTATACATTTTTTACCAGTATGTAACTGCTATGCGGTTGCTAGGGTGCCTAAGGTGGTTGTTAGGGTCTTGCTATGCGGTTGCTAGGGTACCTGGGGCGGTTGCTAGGGTACCTGGGATGGTTGCTAAGGTGTTGCTAGGCGGTTGCTAAAGTACTCTGGGTGGTTGCTAGGGTGTTGCTATGCGGTTGCTAGGGCACGCTGGGTGGTTGCTAGGGTGTTGCTATGCGGTTGCTAGGGTACTAGGGGTGGTTGCTAAGGTGTTGCTATGCGGTTGCTAGGGTGCCCGGGGCGGTTGCTAGGGTGCTGCTATGCGGTTGCTAAGGTACTAGGGGTGGTTGCTAAGGTGTTTCTATGTGGTTGCTAAGGTGCCCGGGGCGGTTGTTAGGGTGTTGGTATGCGGTTGTTAGGGTACCTGGGGCGGTTGCTAGGGTATTGCTATGTGGTTGCTAGCGTGTTACTAGCATGTTGTTAACAGCATTAGCAAGTTACTGGCATGTTGTTAGCATGATTATCAAGTTGCTAGCATGTTTCTAACATTATTAGCATGTTGTTTGCATGATTCTAACATGATTAGCATGTTATTAGCATTATGCTAACAGGTTTCTAGCATGTTTAACAAGTTGTTAGCATGCTTCTAGCATAACTAGCAAGTTACTAGCATTTTGTTAGAATGTTTCTAGCATAATTAGCATGTTACTAGCAGGTTGTTAGCACGATTAACAAGTAACTATCAGGTTGCTAGCTAGTTTCTAGCATGATTAACATGTTATTAGCATGTTTCTAGCATGATTAGCAAGTTACCAGCATGTTGTTAGCATGATTAGCAAGTTACTAGCATGTTGCGAGCACGATCAACATTTTACTAGCATGTTGCTAACACGTTTCTAGCATGATTAGCATGATGTTAGCATGATTAGCAAGTTACTAGTATGTTGCTAGCAGATAGATAGATAGATTAGAAATATCAGATAGATGAGTTTGAATGGATTAGAAATAGTACATAGAAGGAAAGCTTGATTGATTCTCAAGGGATTCTGGGAGTTTAAGTTTGAATATTGACAGTTGGGAGTTTGAATAGCCCACTCGGTCAGATCAGTCTGAAGATCTGGGCTGAGTTTGGAGTTTGTAGAGTTAACCCTTTAACGCGTACGATCACACCGGTGTGATTAGAACGTTCAGTGCGTCACGTGATCAACTGCTGAATTCAAAATTCACGCTTTTCCTGGCGCTGAGCCAGAGACGGACACGCTCGCTTGTCATATTATCACAGTGTTTTCAACCATTTAATGCTTATTTTAGGTTTCATCTACAGTGCCTTGCAAAAGTTGTCATTTTTTTCACGTTTTGTTATGTTGCTGCCTTATGATAAGCTGCTTTAAATGACTTTTTTCCACATCAATCTATACTCCATACACCATAATGGTAAAGCAAAAAACATGTTTTTAACATCTTCGCAAATGTATTAAAAATAAAAAACTTAAATGATTGATTCCATTGCGTAAGTATTCATACCCTTATCTGGGACAGTTGAAATTTAGCTCAGGAGCTCATATTGCTTATATATGTTACTACACTTCGAGTGAAGTTAACCTGTGGCAAATTCAATTGAATGAATATGATCTGGAAAGGCACACACAACTTGATAAAAGATCTAACAGCTGATAATGCATATCAGAGCAAAAACCAAGCCCTGAGGTCAAAAGAACTGCCTGTAGAGCTCAGAAACAGGTTTGCGTCAAGCCACACATCTGGGGAAGAGTTCAGAAACAATTCTGCTTCATTGAAGGGTCACAGAAGCTTGTAGTCTCTGCTACCCTTAATAGAAGAAGTTTGAAACAACCAGGACTCTTCCTAGAGCTGGCCTCCTGACCAAACTGAGCAATTGATGGAGAAGGGCTTTGGTTAGTGTGGTGACCAAGAAGCTGATGGTCACTCTAGCTGAGCTCCATGATCATATGTGGAGACAGGAGAAACCTACAGAAGGACAAACATCGCTGCAACACTCCACCGATCTGGGCTTTATGGTGCTGTGGCCAAACTCAATCCTCTCCTCAGTGTAGACGCATGAAAACACACTTGGAATTTACAAAAAAGCACCTAAAGGACCCTCAGACTGTGAGAAACAAGATTATCTGGTCTGATGAAC